TCTAACGTTTAGTATTAGTATATATAAAATATTATTTTTTATTTTTTCCATTTGATATTTGATTGTATTTTCGTTTCATAGATTTCTTTCTAGTTATAGTACCAACCTTCTCTTCCTCTAACAGATCTTTCAATTTATTTAAATGATCCTCGTAATTTAATTTATCAGCAATATCATCTAATTCCAATTTTGTTATTTTTGGTAAAGTTTTGTGAGCAGAACTCAACATCTGCTTAAATATACCAATTTGATTGGATGTTAGAATAGATATTGCAGTACCTGATTTACCAGCACGCCCTGTTCTTCCAGCTCTGTGTATATACCCTTTGATATGTTTGGGAAGATCGTATGATACTACTAATTGAACATTTGGTATATCCATCCCTCTGGCTAATGCATCTGAACTAACGAGACTGAAAAAAAAACATATATACATGAGATACATTAATTTAATAGAATATTTCATTGAACTATAAGTCAAACTTAGTGATCAAAACTATCATTGTTCTAGTATACTTACACGTTAATTTCACCCAATGCAAATTTATTCAAAATTTCCTCGCGTTGTCTGGCTATGATTCTACTGGAAAGTCCTTCAACTATGATATTCTTCTCAGATAAAAGTAATTGTAATAGTAACGACAATCTATGCGCTGACTCAGTGGAATTAGTAAATACCAAAGTTTTGCGAAAATGTTTCTTTCGTAGTAAAATTTGACGTAGTGCTATCGGTTTATATTCTGGAGAACACTCAACCGCACGTTCCTTCAATTCTTCAGGACTTGTATAACGTCCAACGAAGTTACCCACTTCTTCATCCAAATTTACATCTGTATCTCTGTCAGTAACTATCACTGATGTAAAGAGTATGGGTTGGAAGAGTCGAAATTGATTTAGTTTTTGAGGATCTTGCGTCAAAGTTGCACTGAACAACAATTTTTGTGCAAATGGTGGACTGTAATATAAATATGTATTAATATTTAAATTTGTGATGTATACCAAATGCAAAAGATCATGCAATAATACCTTGAAGATAAATTTTCCAAAGTCAATGGCAGTGCATTTAAGTGAAGTTCAGGAATATATTGTAACCATTCTGTTGCACGATCAGCTTCATCGATAATAAGATAGCGAAGGGATTCTAAAGAAAACCCAGGAGTTTTTAATATGTGATCAACTAAACGTCCTGGTGTGGCTATCAGTATATCCACTGAGCTTACGTACTCATTTGAAATAGCTGGAAAAAACAATGAACATTTTTAATCTAAGATTAAAAAATGATTAATTATTAAAAAAAATATATTAATAAAAATAAACATTTACTTTTTCTGATTAAATTATTTTGTTCCTGTTCAAATGACGAGGCACCCGTAATCAAACCTGCTTTTAAATTTGTATGAGACGTATAAGTGAGGACTACTTTGTGAATTTGTAGAGCCAGTTCTTGCACCGGCACTACAATTAAACAACGTATTTTTGGTACTAACCTAGACTGTAAATGTTGTACTATTGGTAATACGTATGCCAAAGTTTTACCTGAAACACAAACATAGTATTAAATATAATACTTTTATTAAAATATAAACACAAAAATATTATATGATAATTACTAAGAAATTCTTACCACTGCCTGTAGGTGCAGATACACAAACGTCTCGTGGCCAATATCCGAATTTTTTTCTATCTTCTTCACATTTCGACAACCAATTGATTATACTAACTTGTACCGGAAATAATTTATTTATTCCATTAGCTCTCAAAATTTCTATAAGCTGCGGTTCTAAGGAACTAACTTCGTCCAATGTTGGACCACTGTTTAAGTCTGCACATATTATTTCTGGTTTCGCTAACCAATTTGGTAATACTCTTTTAACCTCTCGCTTTTTCTTATGACTCTTAGAACCTAAGATTAGGAAACCTGGTTTTGTAGTTTCATCCTCTTCTACTTTTTCTTCTGTTGTACCATTAGTAATGGTATTTTCACTTTCTTCTCTATTTTCTTCTCCATTTTCTTCCGTGATTGTTTCGTTAGTCATGATTTTCCAAATAAAATCTATATAATATTATTTTACAAATTAAATAAAATAATATATGTGCATCACACTAAATAGAACTTGCAACACTTGTATAAACAATATAGGTTAGATCTATGTTTTCTTATTACTTGATATTATTATTCGTATAACAATAAATTTAATATCAAAAAAAGATAAATTTATGATTCTAATATATAAAAATATTAAACATTGATATTAATTCTTACAATTTGAACACTAAAACACAATCGGAAATAGCAACACGTGCTCCGCCATCAAATAACATTATCTGGATACTACAACGCATTCTAGTGACTAAAATATGAAACACTGCAATTGATTTCACTTGCAGATATAAAAAATAAAATATGTGAAATAATTATACTAATAATTAATATACGTAGAATTTTCATTACTTTTTGTAAATTATTTACACGTATTAATTTTTTTTATTAAACTAATATAAAATTCTGTCTAATAATATAATTTCAAGTTTTATCATTTTATTAATGCTAATTAGATCTTAAAAACTATAAGCAAAATTACAAACGAAATTATTTTACAGAAATAAATAAATTATAATTAAAAACTAATTATAAAATGGATTGTAAGTAATCCAATGAGCCCTATCCTGGTCGTCAGCAGATTTATGACTCGTAAATATACTTTTGAATACTTCGGAGGCTTTAGGATCTTTCGCAACGCTATAGCTTTCTTTAGCTTTTCTATATGCAGGATCTTCAGCTTCATTTCTATTTACATTCTTTTTAGGTAAAGTTGAAGATTTTTCTTCCTTTTTAATCTTCTTTTTCAATACTTCTTCTTTATCATTAACTTCAGTCGAGGTACTTTCAGTCGAAGTACTTTCAGTCGAAGTACTTTCAGTTTTATTTTTCCTTTTCTTGGAAGATTTCTGTGCAGCTTTGCGTGCATTTAAACGTTTCTGCATTAATTCAAGATCATCGTCAACTGCATTCAAGATAACAATATCCGCTTCAGTAAATGCTTGTTGACATCTATGACATACCTTTAAAACAAAAAGAAATAAATAATAATACTTTTTAATCATAAAAATACTAAAAACAAATTACATTAAACATAGGTAATCATAAATATGAAAATAAAAATTTCATTTAATGTATTACTTACTGAAGTCTTGACTTCTTTGAGTGCACGTTCGCTCATCACGCAACCGCAAGTCCACAAAAAGCAAAATTTATACTTTCCATTCATTTCCAATCCAATAACTGGACAAATGTATGGACTCTTTCCACCATCAACATAACAATCTCCTTTTTCTGCTTTGTTAGCATTGAATGCAGGATTAGGAGTAAGATTAAGATTCTTGATATCTTTTAAGTTTTTAATATGAGCTGCAGATTCTGGAAGTGTATCACGATCAAGAAGTCCTTCCAAAACAGATTCCTTGCTATAAAGACGACCTAATCCACAAGCAACAACTGGTGCTTGCAAAGGTAATTGTCGTATCGTACAATGTTTCCATCTGAATGCTAATTCAGCATCTTTATCTTTCTGTCAAATTAGAACGACAAAACATTTTTTATTACATATGTTTTAAATAATAAATATTATAAGATTTTAGATTACAACATTGCAATTTAGTTATTGCAGTGTAATCGTTTATTGCAATATACAATTGTATTTTGTTATTGTCGAAGATTATATTTTGTTGGTTATGTTACATGTAGAAAATATTTGGTGTTTTAAATAAAATGCATAGGTACTTACTTTTTCAGGTTTCTTCTTTATTCTCACGAGTTCGTCTCTACGAGGAATAGTTCCACCATCACAACCCATTTTGCAATAAAAGATTAATTATTTAATATGTTAAAGAAAAAATAATAATTCGACAAGCTTTATTGTATATTTAATGGAGGTCCCAGTGATGCCAACCGAAATTCGGCAATGTCGCTAGGAACTTATTTTTCGTTCTATAACGTGTCAGTGTTACCAACATTAATATTAGTAATATCTCATTATAGTTATTTCATTTAACAATAAATAATTACCAAGTACTGTCAAGAAAAACTAATCTATAAAAATAGAAAGCTTTTTCTAAAAGATTTTACAATAATTTTCCATTTAAATTGAAAATAATTTGTGACAACAAAAAAGGTAAACGTATTTCAAGTTAAAAATTATTAAATTGATAGTGCTTAAGGGTTATGTTACAATGCTTTATTATTTTTTACTAATATATGAATTTTTTATTAACTATTAAACTTGATTATTATTTCAGGACGTTTATTCAAAGCAAATTTTGAATATAATATGCTCAAATAAAGAACAATTGTATTCCAATTGTGTTTCAAAACTTTAACAAAGATGGGTTTGTTAACAGTGTTAAAGAAATTGAAGCAAAAAGAAAAAGAAATGAGAATCCTAATGTTGTATGTATTACATTGATTTATCAATTTTTGTTGTTTTTAATTAAAAATAAACAAAAAAAAATATCTTATTTAATTGTTTAAATGTAAATTAATATTTTCAGAGGATTAGACAATGCAGGTAAAACAACAGTTTTAAAAAGAATAAATGGAGAGCCTATAGACACCATATCCCCAACTCTGGGTTTTAACATCAAAACTTTAGAACACCGTGGTTACAAATTAAACGTATGGGACGTTGGTGGACAGAAATCATTGCGTTCATACTGGAGGAATTATTTTGAATCTACTGATGGATTAATATGGGTAATCGATAGTGCTGATCGTAGAAGATTAGAAGATTGCAAAGTAGAATTATATAAATTATTGCAAGAGGAAAGATTGGAAGGTGCGAGTCTTTTGATATTCGCTAATAAACAAGATTTACCTGGTGCACTTTCGGCATCGGACATTGCTGAAATTTTAGAATTACCTAACATTAAAACGCATCACTGGCAGATATACAAATGTTCTGCAGTTACGGGAGAAAATTTAGTCGAAGGTATTAATTGGATTGTTAGCGATATCGCCGCAAGAATATTTTATATCGATTAAATATTAAATCCTCGTGTTAAGTTAATACGTTTAATTTATTACAGAAATTTTAATAGTAGTACTTCGAAATAAATTTTAATAAAATGATTCTTAACGAGAGAAAATATATAGATTTTCTATTTATAAAAATATAGAATATAATTTTGTTAATTTAATAATATTCTAATCCTTCATACCAGTCATCAAATATATCTTCTTCAACTTCATAAATTATTTCTTCGGAATACTTTATGTGATCGCATAAATAAAATAAGACGTATAATTAGAATTATTTGTTAAATAATCATATATATATATATATATATATATTCTTTATTTCTTTTCTATACTAACCTCAAGTTTTTCTTCAGGTATCTGCTTTACTTTTGGTTTTTCAGCTTCTACTTTTACGATCTCTTCTTCTTTTTTTATTGATGGTTTGATTGGGGGTGGTTTTGTGTCAGGAAATTCTTCCAAATAAATTGCTTTTATGAGAGCTTGATCGACTGTTTTTCTTGGTCCAGGAAAAGCATCAATGATCTCTTTGATAAGCGATTTAGATAATCTCAATTTAAATTGTCTTATTAATTCTCTAAACCGTCCTGCAATAATATTTATTATGAATTTCATCAAATTGTAGCATCTCATTATATAATCGTGCAACAAATACCTTTACGTATTGATCTATCAGTTAAGGATAATACAAAATGACCAAAATTTCTTCTAAGTCTCTTTCGTTTTTGTGCCATCGCTTCGTATTGAGCTCTTCTCAAAAGAATTTTTTGAACATTTGGCCCTACTAATTTGTAATTACTAAGAATACCACCTAATTCTATTTGCAACCATGGTTTTTCATTTTCTATCGATTCCAATTCTGGTAGAATATTTTTATCTGCCCAAACATTTTCTAAATTTAAAAGACGAAGACTACTGTTCGGTGAATTTTTCATAGTAAGAGAAGAAATCAAAATAAATGCACCTTCCGTGCCCAAAGGATTACTTCCTAAATATAATTCTTCTAATACATTGTTTCTCGACAATGGTTTGGAAATAATTGCTGCATCAGATTTCGTTAACATGTTACCTTTAAATAAAAAATTAATTCCAAAGCAAAATAAATATAATTAATTAATTTTTTTAATTCGTATACTGAATAATTCTCACTTCTAAGATCCAAAATTTCAAGTTGCGATCTTCTTAAAATAATTGTCAAGTATCTGACGCATTCAGAATCAATCCCGTTCCACGATAAATTTAATCCAACCAAAATATAATTTTTCGATAAAACGTTTGCCAAACTTTTCCAAGTTTGTTGATCGAACAACGAATTCGATGATAAATCCAACCATTTAATGGATTTCGAATGTGCTATGATATAACATAGATGTTCTGTGCAAGCTTTGTTTAAATTATTATTTGCTAAAAATAGTTCTTCCAAGCTTTGATTATCTCGTACCGCGGATGCTAATATTTCTAATCCTTTCTCATTAAGATCACAAGAATTAAGATTGAGAGTGATCAACGAGGATGATGCTGAAATTCCATCGCACAATTTTTCCGTACCTTTCGAACCGATCCGACATTTGGATAAAATTAAATGATTTATTGTGCTACTTTTCTGCAATAATTCACCCAAATGATAACAAGCACCTTGTGTCAACCAATTGTCCTGAAAAAATAATTACAATAATCAGTATTACAACATATTTAACACGTTGATCGCCACCTGACTTAAAATTGGATCACAGCTGTGTTTCCATTGAAACCAATTTCATTGAACCATTGAAATTCGATTAACAATTTTCTTCGTTCAATTGAAATTAATTTTTTGAAGTAATTATTTTACAAGAATTGTTGTATTTATTTCCATGACAAGTGTCAAACGATCAACGTGTTCAAATTGTATGGTGTAAATGATATGTAAACGAAAAACAAAGTACCGTAAGATCGATCGTTTGAACGGATGCGTTATTTTGCAAAGCGCAAGAAATAATTTGAACGATTCGTGGATCGATTCCGTAATATCTTAAATCAATGTATTCCGTTTGCAACATTTTAGCAATAGATTGTATAACTTTAAGACCTTTGAATTTGGCATGTTCGTCAAATTTGTAAACCCCACCTTCTTCAAAGGATTCTTGAGTTGCAAGAACCCAAAATGCTGGGCCCACCCCGGGATCATTTGGGATTGGAAAGGTCGTGTTCAAATTGGATAATTTCATTTGCGAATCGCTTATATCGATATCCCTCAAGCAAGGATGAATCGATGATTCGCTGAGTGATTTTTCGGAAACAACATCTTTTTCTTCCGGAGTAATCAAAGTTTCGATCGAAACATCATCGTCATCTTTTTTTCGGACGACCTAAAACACAATTTTCTTATTGAATACTCGAATGTTTCGTGTATCGTAACTTAATGAAATATTTTAAATAAAACCAATAGAATGGATTCTATACTTTGCGGCTAATTTGATTAAAGTTTACCAAATTTGTTGTTTTTTAAGTTACACCGAGTAATTTTTGTAAACGTATCTTCTTCTTCTTCTTTTTCTTTCTATCCATTAATTGATCTCGTTCGAAATCATCGCTGAATTCTGATTCCACGTCGTATTCATCCTCAAACGTTTCCTCTTCGTAATAATCAGCCCATTTTTCGTAATCAAATTCTGAGTAGTAAGATTCTTGAATCGAATTTTGGATATATTGCTGTAGCATATATTTCATATATTATTTTATTTTTCCATATTAAATAAATTTAAGTATATTTTAATATATTAGTTTAATTATATATACGCATGTGTACCTGTGTACTGTTCATTCTTAAAATTTAATTTCTATAATATCCAAACTATTGAATTTTTTTTACATTTTATTTTTTTTTTTTTTTTACGAATTTTTTATCCCGGTTATAATTTATGTCAAATCCATTGAAAAATTTAAATTCGATTTGTTTTAATGATCGATATATTAATGATCGAAGATCGAACAGAATCTTAATATTAAATCACGGAATAGAATGATCGAAGATTGGTTCAGGAAACAATTTCGATGAATGAAATTTGACTGTCAAGAGAGAGAGAGAGAGAGAGAGAGAGAGAGAGAAAGAGATGACTCATTTACCAAGTATTCTCATCAAGTGGTTCTTCTGAACCATTGTGTTGTAATTTCAACAGTTCCTTATACAGTGATCATCCTAATCTATCTTACGTTATGTTCGTCCGGGCTCGTAAATTCTGTTGTCTCGTCGCGAAATTGATCTTGGAGCTTATTGTTCATCCCAGACGCACTTTTGACGATGATCAAGTGTATTATCTTCAATTATATCAAAATTACCTTTAAATGTATACACGTATCTATGTACGAGTATACTACACACATATATATTACATATCATGTTTTTAGAGAGATTGAATTATTTAAATAATTAATTTATTAGCGGTATACGTGTGATCAATTATTACCAACTGAAAATTATCTTGATCAGAAAAAAAAAAACAAGTATCTATAACTATGATCTATATATTAAAAAACGATAAAATAGACAATGATTTATTATTAAAAGATGGTAAAACACAATAGAAGAATCTATGATTGATAGACGATAAAACAGTAAGGGATCTAGCTCGTTAATGATTTTATAATTTCATTTGTAAAATATAATAAAATATTCATTATTTTTATAATACACCTCTTAACCTCGCGTTAACTTTGCAAATAATTTATTTCGAAAAGAAACGAAAATTATACTACAATAATTAATCTTTAAAAGTGATGGGGGTGTGGAATAAGGGTTGATGGAAAAGCTAATAAAAAAGAAAAAAAACAAGAAAAAGAAAACAAGACATTATGACGAAGTATTGTACTTTTTATTGAAACTCTTCATCGTCGTAACGTAATGCGAGAGAGAATGGGGATGGAGGGGGGAGTGGGTGGGTGGGTGGTGGTTAGGAGCAAAAAAATAAGATACGAAAAGGGATATGGAATGAAAGGGAGGAATAAGTAGGTGGCAAGAGGGGAAATTATTTACAACAATGTACTCGCTCATTTCGTTAATTATAACTCGGCATTGTCGACATTGACGAGCGATCGATCACAATTCACAACGCGTGGGTGTATTTATATCCCTTAAACTAAAATCTATCATTCGATCAGAGAGACATTAGTTAAACGATTCATTTCTCTAGATTAAATATGTTGTTGTAAGTTTTTTTTTTTTTTTTTATTTCACTTATCTCTAACGGTTCAACGTAAGATCGAATAAAATCGATCCTCGAGACCCCATTTTTTGTTTCTTCTTTCCATCCGGAATAACATTTTAATTCTCGGATTATTATTTGCGAATTTTTTCTTTTTTTTCTTTTTAATTCGTTATAATATTTTAAAATGAAAAAAACAAACAAACAAACAGAAAAAAGAAATGAAATTAAATCGAATAAACTTTCATTCGAACGTTCGAACTATTGTTCCCCCCCACATGATCTAGGAATTATTTTAAGAGAATACACAAATAAAAAATAATAATAATATAATATATATATATATAAAATTATGTATATATATAAATCGTCGCGAAATTATTTCTATTTATATTCCTACGTAATGAGAGGAAAATGGGGACAAATTCATATGATTCTTTTTTGTTTCTTCCTCATTTTTTTAAAAAAGGGGAAGGAGAAAAAGAAAATACGATTAATATATAATAAAATAAAATAAAATTAGAACCCCACAAAAAAATACAATTGCACATCTAGATAAGAGTTCGAAAGAAAGAACGATCCTATCTATATTATAATACTTGATTAAACAGTTGTGGGGGAGGAGGTGGAGGAATAGAAGTGGTGAAGATGTAGAAGGGGGATGGGGATGGGGGGGGGGGATTTTATCTATTTACAATTCTTCTCGTAGGCTTACTACGCCGCTCTTTCTCTTATTAATCGATCACTATAGATCGAATAGAAAGTATACAAGAGAGACTTACCGGTTTATTATAATTATTATTCTTTTTCTTTATCTTTTTTTTTCTTCTTTTCCTTTCCTTAACTTTGCCAACTATTTCTATTGGATAAAACATCGAATACGTTAAAGTCACGTTTTTTTTGTGTGTACGTGTACGTGTATATGTGACGCGACTCGTTGATTGAATTAATATTAAAATGCACACACACACACACACACACACACGTTTGTTCGTTTGATCGAGAAATGACTAAGATGTAAATGTAATATCGTGTACGTGTATACGCGTATAAATTATTTATATCAATTTATAATTAAATGTAATGAAGGTTCTTTTTTTCAACAAAAAAAAAAAATAAAACTTGTCAACTTGTCTCCTTTTTCTTCTTTTTTTTCTTTTTGTTTCGTTTTTTTGTGTGTTGTTGTAGTCGCAGTATATAGAACTGGAATATAGTTAGAATCGTTAAGTAAAAGCGGCGTATATTTACACTCATTTCTTTTTCTCCTTGCACTCTTTTTTTCCTCGTCTTATCATTAATTATTAATATTACTATGTGATTATATTATTATTATTATTATTATTATTATTATTATTATTAATATGATTATTATTATTATTATTAATATAATTATTATTAATATTATTATTTGTGTATTTTTTTTTTTTGTCATTTTTTTTTTCATTACCACTTTCTAGTTTTATTTAACTTAATCTACACGGAATAATCGCATTTTCTGCCGATGAACGTTCGTAAATACGCATACGTTAGATTCTAAATAATGGTATTCGCCAAATTAACTCTTCCTTTCTTCTTTTTTCATATTTTTCTCATTTTTAATTATTATTATTATTATTATTATTATTATTATTATTATTTATTTATTTATTTATCTATTTATTTTTTTATTTATTCATTTCTCCTCTCTCACACACACACACACACACATACATATGCACGTTTGTTTCTTTTTTTCTCGTTCATGACGATATCATAGTGCTTGCGAAATTAAAACAAACGAAAAAGAAATAGACATAGTACAACGAGATAGACTTAACGAAGGAAATGGGAAGAAAATTAAAAAATAAAATAAAAATATATATATAATATATATATATAATAAAAAAAAGAAGTAAAAAACGACTGTGGGAAAGTATTGGTCGTTACGTAAATAATAATAATAATATATCACAATAATATCGTCCGAAAGGAACGTTCGAAGGCTAAACACCATTTTAATATATCAATTTGTGGATTATGTGTGGATTAACAAAATTTTAAGCCTCGATGAAAAACAATGTTTTTTATAAAAACAAAAGTTTAGTTCTCGACTGAAAACCATAATGAGAGAGAGAAAAAAAAAAAAAAGACATTTAATTTTTCTACATTAGACTAAAAATTTTTCAATCCACCCACGTACATATTTCGCAATGATAAATTTATGTTAATCACGTTATCGGCATAATATTACACGGTATGTATGCAGGTATGCGCACGTATGTATATTTGTATGAATGTATCGTAAGTCTTAGGAAATGATTTTCACTGTTTTTTTTTTTTTTTTTTAAGTGAATCGTAAAAATTGTTCGGTATAAATGTAAGTATCCAAACAATGTAACGCAATCAGTATAATCATCAGTTAAAATTATAAAATCGTAAGCAGTACGTTATAATAGTATACGATACGTTGTACGGTGTAAGTAACGAGATTTCTTAAAAAAAAAAAACATAAAAAATTGATCGAAGAATAACACACACACATCATCATTATTATCATCATCATCGTTCTTGGATATTTGAACCTCATCACTGTATTATAAATGCGTTATATGTACAGTAGAATCTGTAGTATCCAAATTAACATGAAATGTAAACGATTTCTGCAACGTTTGAATAATAAAAAAAAATCATCGGATACTGAAAGGTTCCACCGTGTTACATACTTGCTGCACATGCGTTTATATTTTATTTTAATCATTTTGTTGTTGTGTGTTTATTTGCAGACCTGCCTCGCATAAAGGATTGATTATTATTTAATTTAATTAATTATATATTTATTTATTTATTTATTTATTCATTTAATTAATTATTCATTCATTTATTTATTTATATGATATAACAACGAACGCGTACGATCTCTATAATAATAATTATAATAATTATGCGCGATAACCAACACAGCGTAGAAAACTTTTTAAGATATCAAGGGTCGTGATTGCTGAACACTTGGATTATGCAAGCGGTGCAGTCACAGCGAAAATTACTAAGTACGAGCTATATACATATGTACAACGATAACAACATATTAAAATGTTATCATTATAGTTACTTATAATCGTCGATCGCATTTATTGTCAACAAAATCATGATCTTTAGTCATGAGATTATAGGGGAACTCTGATGGAACACGTAGAAAAAAATCATTTTAAATACGAACTTTCTCATTCTTCTTCTTCTTCTTCTTCTTTTCTGTTTTTTTATTTTGTGCATGATATATTTCTACGTAACCTTTTTTTAAAAAAAAAACAAAACCAGGGAAGACGTTAATTCTTGCAAGATTTTACGACATTTATAATATATAATATATTTTTTCGGATCATATATTATAACGAACGTACGTGTCTTCGAATATAATCATCTTAAAATCATACCACTTAATCGTGCTAAAAAACATTTAAGTTTAGACAAAATACTTGATTATCTTGTCACCAGATCATTAAAAAAAAAAACACGTGGGAATAATTGGGGAACACTTTGAACACACAAGTTAGAATCGAGTTTAAATCGTAATGAATAACTGATAAGTCCGTGTTAGGTACTACAATTGCTGTAAAAAAATAATAATAATAAGAAAAAAAAAAAAAGAAAGAAAAAAAAAAAGGAAGACTTTAAACATGTACCGTTAACACTTGATGAGGACCAGACGTTTGACTCGTCCCAGGTTGCTGATGGGAGTACGTTGGTTCTTGTATTCTCGGTTTGGTGTAAGGTTTGTGGGGACCTTCCTCGTAACTAAAACTCGCCGTGTTATTTCTCGTCTCGGCACTAGGGGGTTTGTAAAGGGGTGGTAAACGATGTCTTCCTTCTTCCGAGACCATTTCGAGACTTTCTTCAGTTGTACCGAGTGAACTGAGAGAAGCACCAGCCAATGGTCTGACTACGGACACGCGTGGTTCTGGGTCTTGATCCTTTAAAGGATTTGCGTACCTTCTTAGGTTCTCTTCATTTTGTAAATTGTTTGATTTTTCGTCAAGATCACTGCGATGACGATGCAGGGAAGTCTCGCTGCTGGTTGTCGCGGTTAAGCTTGAACGTTGTCTTGCCGTTCTGAGATACCAAAGACCTCCGAACAAAGCTAATACTAGGACAGTTGCTAAAGCACCACCTAGGACAGCAATGTAACCACCTGCCGCGTTATTCGAATTGGAACTAGGCTCGCTGATTAAAGCGGTCTCGACTTTGACTTCCAAAACTGAGGCAAGTGCGAGTGGTCTGCCCATGGGACGACTCAATGCTTCACCCAAATCCCGAGCTGCGTCTGCTGCCGTTTCCGAGAATATTGTTACCTCTACGGTATCGTTGTCACCCGGTTTCAAATCGCAAAGTAATACGATCAATTGTGGTCGTCTCGGGTCAGCCAAAAGTTTTCTCAGTCGACGACAAAGCAATTCGACTGACGTACCAGACGCTAAAGTATCTCTTCTTAATAATATCGTCAATCTCGAACAAGTTGGTCCCGGTGTTGCTTGACCAGGCCAACAAGAGGGTGGTGCTGGTAATGCAGGTGGTCCTACTCTTCTCCCAGTTTCCACCGGTCGACATTCACCCCAAGCTGGACAGGGTGGTGATAGACAACTTTCTCCTGGACTTGGTACGCATACTTCGTGTGCCAAACAGGACGTACCGTTTAAACAGTTACCCTGACCGCACCATACATTACTACATTGATTCTTTCCGCTTCGACACTCGCAAATGTTGCAATCGTCCTCCCAGCTTGCAGCTACGCATCCTGGACCGCCGGCCGTGCGAATCTCGCAACGAATACCGGTCCTACCTGCGGAACGGACAAAAAGAATATGTAAGAAGAACCCACCGGACGAGTTTGTATCGTTGTAAAGTACGACGAGCAAACCCCCCCATCGAATGAAAACTGGTCTGAATTATGAACAGGATCGATCTTTTTTCTCTCTCTCTCATTTTATTTATTTATTTTTTAAAATGTCGATCTTATTTATCAAACGCGTAATTCAATATCCTTTCTTATAACGTTACTTTTATATTAATGTCAGAATTTTTGTACGTTTGTTATATATATATATTTAATACACATACCCGGTGGACAAACGCAAGAATAACTTGCAATTCCATCTACGCAGGTTGCTCCCGCGGTGCAAGGATCACTGGCACACTCGTTCACGTTGATACGACAATCGGGACCGGTAAATCCTGGCGCGCATTCGCATCTGAACCAATTAACTCCGTCTACGCATTTACCACCGTTCAGGCACGGCAACGGTTGACAATCGTCCACATTTCTAAGACAATTTGGACCCTCGAAACCTTCCCGACAAAGACATTTGTAATTTCCATCCGCCGTGTTGACACAGGTTGCTCCATTTTCGCAAGGATTACTGGCACATGCTGGAGAAGCTATATGACAAGCTGCACCCTCCCAACTTGGTGGACAATGACATGTAAAACCATCACCACGATCTTGACATGTTCCACCGTGACGACAAGTGCCCGGTTCGCAATGGCCACCTCGTAGGGCACAGGTTTTTCCCTTCCAACCATTTCGACAAATGCACGTAAAATCTGCGACACCGTCCACACATGTGCCATTGTTACGGCACGGTAACGACATGCACTCGTCTACGTCTGCAAATACAAATTAAATTCCTTTTTTTTATTTACAGCCTTTTTGGGTTATTATTTTTTTCTTTTTGAGATGGATAGGGGGTATAGAAATATATAATTTTAATATGAATTACTGACCTTGATCGCACAAATCTCCGCTCCAACCCTCACGGCATATACATTGAAACGAATTGATGAGATCAACGCAGGTACCACCGTTCATACAAGGATTCCCACGACAATCGTTGATATTCTCGTGACAGTGAACACCGGTATAACCCGGATCGCAAATGCATTTGTCACCGCTGCACTTTCCTCTGCCACCGCAAGGCGTTCCCTCGCTACCGCAACCTAATTGATCGTCCGTGTTACCGCTAAATTGCGGATTTTGCGATGCCGATTCGCTACAATTCTTCCCTTGCCATTGTTCGGGACAATGGCAATAGTAATCGGTTTGCGTGTTAAAACATGGCGCCGAATTTCTACAAGGATTTGGACTGCAATGATCCCGATCTATCTCGCATTGGTAACCGGTGAATCCAACAGGACAAACGCACTCGTAAGCGTTTACCAAATCTCTGCATTCTCCGCCATTTTGACAAGGCTTCGAGGCACATTCGTCGATGTCAACGTCACAATCCTTCCCGGAATAACCTGCCGAACAACTGCAGTGATAATCGTCGACGAGATCGATGCAAAGTGCACTATGTTGACATTGTCCAACGCAATCGTTGATGTTCTTCGTACAATTCTTCCCTGTGAAACCGCTTCTACACCGACATCTAAAATTTGTCATTCACCTCCTATTACTTTACTAATAACGTACCTAACGATTTCATTTCCTTTTTGTTTTGTCTTTTTCCAATTAAAAATTCGATATCTATCATGAAGATTGTTTTTACTCTTATCGGGATTTCTTCTTTTTTTTTTTGAGGGGTATACATTATGAATTTACTTTTTAGAATATAAAAATTAAAGTATTATAATAAAAAGAAAAAGTATTCGATATTCTATCAAATTTTTGTCTCTCTTACAATTTTCTATTTGATATTAAATTTCTTACCTGTAATCACCGGCAAGGTTAACGCAACTGATGGAATTTTTGCAGGGCGATTCCTTGAGCGCACATTCATCTACGTCGAATTGACAAAGGGAACCTTGCCAGGCAGGTGGACAGTTGCAAACGAAACCATTTCTACCGTCAACGCAGGTACCACCGTTTTGACAAGGTTGCGAGGCACACTCGTCGATGTCGGTTGCACACAAAGGCCCGGTAAAACCAGGCGCGCATTCGCAATGTGCGCTTTCACCTAATTCGATGCAGGTTGCACCATTGGCGCAGGGACTCGAGGCACAAGGATTGTCTACCTTTTCGCAAGTAGGCCCGGAAAATCCTTCAGGGCATGTACACCTATACTGATCCGGTGCAGTATTTTCGCATGTGCCACCGTTTTGACAGGGCTCGTGCGTGCCACAATAATTGAGATCTTGATCGCACAATATGCCACCCCAATTTGTATCGCAAATGCATTGCCAACTGGAACCATTGCAATAACCGTGTTTGCATCCGGGATAAGGTGTACACTGATCGCAAAGTTCACCACGCCAACCGTGTCTACATTTGCATTCACCGCTTACGTTGCAGTGACCGTGAACCGGATGACAACCCTCTTTGCAAACAGCTAGAATCACAATAAAAATATTTTTATTTTATTAATAATACACATAGAAAACAAAGAGAGATAGAGAATGTAGATTTGATATATAGATAGATATGATAAAATGACAGTCAAATAACAAATCAGTCGTAATCCTCGAAATGTATTTCCAACAATTTCGAAACTCAATTTCATGCGATTACGGTATCTCTTCTCTATCATCGTGAACGGTAATTTCGAAACTCGACGAAGACGGCAAAGAGTTAGGTATCGCTTTATAGTCGGGCAACTCAATTAGCCGAGGGGACGGAAAGACGGATGAGAAGCGACAGAGAGAAGGATTATCTCCCTTGACCGTGAAACGAAAACTCATGCCGTGGTAACACGCGAGTATCTACATACGTACGTACAAACATATATATATATATATAAATACATATATATATATACATACGTATAATCTTTCGACCCTTTTCCTCTGAGAATATCGAAGACAAGAGATGAGGACGACAACTACGACGACGATTTTACCGTTACGTCACGCGCTTTAAATATACCCACACGTTATTCTCACGTAAAATCATCATATAAGGTACTTATACATATATATATACATTTACATAGAAATATATATGCACCTTTTGCATAGAAGATACTTTCCCGAGAGTATATATAACCAAACGTATATTATACGTACTCGCATATAACGGGTGAACCATTCAAATTCATCCTAACGATATAACTCGATTGCCATCAAGTAATAAAATATAATCTATCCGATTAAAATTGACTCGCTTTCGAAAGTATCTTTACTTTATCACCGATACCAATCGAATTATTCGAAATGTTGAAATATTCCTGATAATTTTTCATTAATCTAAGGTAAATTAACTCTCATTAATATTTTTACTTTAAATAATATAGAATATTATCTATCTGATTAATATTTAAACTATGATCAAATAATACAATATACTTTGTATTTGAACGATCAATTTATTTTATTCATTTTCTAAATCAAATAAACTTTATTATATCCAATAAATAATCGAATTATTATTCGAGATGGGGTATTTAAGATGCATCACCCGGTATGTACATATAATACATACGTACTTAGTACATATACATATATATATATATATATATACACCTGAATATACCTGCTCTTTCACAGCATCTCTAATGATTAATAGTCCTGGCCTTTCTCGTCCTCACGAACGACGGACATTTACGGATATTTATACGACTGCATCGGGATACTCTCAAGGTACTAAATGACGGCACGTCATCGTCCCTCCTCCCCCTTTCCCACCCCCTACCTCCATACCTCCCTCTTATAATCCTCCCTCTAAACCACCACTCTTCTCGTTTTACCATCATGAAGCAGAAGACCTTCTTTTAGCCTAACAGCAATGAGTTCTGGCCAATGCTCGATCGGATTCGATCGGAAACGCGTTTGCGTATCCACTAAGCAATTTTATCTCGAGTTAATCAAGCCACGTTTCATCCTCGTGAGATGTTTCTTCCTTCTTTGGAAAAAAGAAAGAAAGAAAAAAAAACGGAGGAAAAAGAAGAGAGAGAGAGAGAGAGAGAGAGATGGAAGAAGAAATAGTAAATTTTCTCTCGCAGATAGGAAACTATAAATCTAACCGATGGGGTTTGAAGAGGAAGCCTCCTCTCTTCGTGGTTGATTGATTCACCTAAGTCAACGCCGGTTTAAATTAACGCTCGCGATTTACTCTTACTCGTTTCCTTTCCTTCACCTTCCGGCTATAGTTAGGATTAAGGATTTCTTCTATTTTTTTGTTTTGTTTAGCTTATTCTTCTTTTTCTTTCATTATTTTTCCTAAGATCGTTACGTGCAGGAATTTTGAATAAAGTATTAAGGAAGTTCCTACGATTTTCGATCGATTAAATTGTAATTAGGAATGTTTATAAGTGTGTGTTTGTTTTATTTTGATTGAATAATAGTATAATGGTAATTTTTATTCGACTGATTTTTTTTTTATTTTTACGAACAATTTATGCAAAAGCAATAAGTGATATTGTGTTATACTGAATGAAACATTTAATTTAGAATATGTAGACACACGTAAAATACTTGGATTTTGGAAACTCTGTTGTGTAGATAAATGCAAGTATCAATTGAAAAAACAAATAAATAAATAAATTAAATTAAAAATGATTGTATTCTTTACAGAAATATTTTGATAATTGTATTCGAATGTGTATTAATCGAAGATAGAAATTTCATGGTAGTTTCTAAAAGATTCAAGAAGAACGTGGTGGTAATGGTGGTGATGGTGGTGGTGATGGTTGTTCTCGTTCGACTTATGTTAGCGAGAACTACGACGATCTTATCAGGAAAAAAAAGATTTGACTTCTCTCACAAGCCTGCCGTGCTGTAGCTTGGCACGTTACGAACCGGGTTCGTTCGTGCATAGGAAGAACTCTCGTGTGAAGACGATGCACGGAGTGAAATTCTCCTATTGACCTTTCACAGTGCGACAAAAATGTCAGAGCCAGTTACTCTCTCTCTCTCTCTCTTTCTCTTACAAGTTAAGCTTTACTTACAATCGACTCGACGTCTCACGAGTACACGATTCCTATCGATAGATCCTAATTGGGTTTCATCGATCCTATTTTTCTGTTGAAATCTCCTTTTTTTATTTTAATAAACTCAAAAGTAGAACGCTAAATAATTATTCGATTACTATTGATAATAATATAGAAATATTGAAATGATCCCAAATAAATTTCATATTATTAATTATATATTTATATTTAAGTGTTAAGAGAAAACATTAATGCAAATTTATTCATTTTTCAATTCTTTTAGTATACTGAAATATCTAAAAATCTAATCAATCGATAACAATCCTTATCTTCAACTACTCCAATAAAATTCATACCCTAAAGTAAAAAAACAAACACGAAACCTAATGAAATATTTCTCTTAAATGAAAAAAACCTTACAATTAGGTTTAGATAAATTAAAGAATTTCTAATCCAATAGTAAATTAGATCTCTGCAAGGTCGCGAAACGAATTGGAAAATAAGGGTGAAAGAAAGATAAGATAGAAGAAGAAGAAGAAGATGAAGAATAAGAATAAGAAAGAAAGAAGAAAGATAGGATGTGACACTGCGACCTGGTGAGTCCGCAATCACAGTGAGACGGAAGTAACGATTAACCAGCGAAGAAAGAGCTGTTATATATTAGCCTGGCGCTCTATTGTGCGAGCCAAGACCTGGCGTGATGTCGCTACCTTTGTAAGATCGTACGACATGCGTCTAACGTCCGCCCATTGAGGCACGCTTCGAGATAATTCGTATGTTTTACGATCCGCAAGAGGCCGTGCCTCTTGATCCCACAACCCACGTTTTCTTAATATTCTTATTCTTCTTTCTCTTTCGTAGCTTCACTTATATATTTCCATACCAACTAAATTATTTTTCTTTTTCTCCTAACACACTCACAGAGAGTCTAAGTAATTAGAAAGAATTGTGTTTTCAATACACACATGATACATGCATTATATGTTTAATTTGTCTAATAACATTTCCTAACAAGCTTATTGAAATTTTTCCTAATAATGTCTTTGATAATCAATTTTGTAGATATTATTTTAACATAGACCCAAAATTAGAAATATTTCTGTTAATTTCTTCTTCTTTTTATTAAGACTTCGTTCTGTTGTAATAACTTTTTCATTACTGTTTCCTTTTTGTCTAGGCTTTGGGGATCTTTGATTTTGTTTTTGGGGGCAGATTTCTGATAATTTATAATATAACAACTGTGTGTTTTCTCATATAACTCAAACGATAAATTCCTTTTGCATATCGTGTTGTTATTAAATGTAATAAATGATTATAAATATAATCGTTGAGATAAATATAATAAATATAATAGTATTGTTCACCTATTTCACAATCGGAACCTTTCCAGCCCTGTATGCAAGCTTTGTCTCCGTTCTCGTCGCAGGTGTAATGACCGAATATGTCGTTTCTCGGCCTGCAAAACTTGGTACACGTAGCGTTGTAATAATGATCCGCACATTGTACTCTCACGCGATATGCTAAATGAGCATTTCTTCCTTGATGATTGAGGGTATGCCACGTTGGTCCTGGTAAAACAATTCCGCTGTAACTGGCTTCCTCGATTACACCAGCACTGGCTTCGTCTCTCGCTTGTAAGATCAATGTAAATTGTCTCTGCAACAAAACAAACATATAAATACAATAAGAATAATAAAATAAAATTAAGCAACTTAAGTGATTGCGAATTTGTTCTTTGCCAACATTTAAAATGTACCCACACATTGGGATTTTTTTCGAAAGAAGATACGAAAAATAAAAAATTAAAACGAGCTATATTGTTCGTGTCGATTAAAAAAAAAAAAAAAAAAAAA